AAATAATCCCATCGTCTACTTTCAAAATGCTTTTTAAATGAATGGGACCGTCTTTAACCTAAAATATATGCCATACTGAACGTTTCAGCTTGTTTATGGTGAGTAAACCTGCGTCTTACAAACAACTGTTTACTTTCAGTTTGAGTTTATCGTGACTTACGATCTAAAAAGTAGAGACATTCCGAAATCCTGTTTTGTAAACAAAGATTCATACGCACCGCGTGGGTATAACCGTATTACTAATTTCCGATTTTTAAAATCTTCGTAAATCTGGATAAAGACCAGTTTCTATCCAATGGATATCAAAATGATTCCGATTTTCACTTTTTTTAATGATTGTTAAGTTGAAATGGCATGAAAGGCTGACATTATTTAGGAGAACTATTTTGTCTAGCGATTGCTGATCATTGGAGGCAAGGATTTGTATAGAAAGTCCAACACCATAACAAAACTTACGGATCTATTTATCATGTATACATACCGATTGTTTACGATTGTAAGACATGTGCATAAAAGTGAAAGCTCGAATAAATATGAAAAATATAACAAAGGGATAGCTCCAAATACCATTTAATAACAAAAAACATATGGACAGGTCAAGATATCTTTTGGATAAATAAAAAAAAGTATGTAAACTGGTTCCTGTCCGACTACAACACTTTGTTCGAGTGTAGCGTAATACAAGCAGATTCCAGTTAGTATGTAAAATAGTAAATATGAAACTGAGTGTGGTAGGCGGAGGCAATAATCGACTTCCGTAAGTTCTGGTCAATGGTATCGGAAACATGCCGCTGATAGCGTCATTTTCCAAAAAGCATGATGCTGATAGCGTCATTTTCCAAAAAGCATGATATAAACTACATTTGGTAAAATTATTAAATTTTTTGTTTATCTATTTTAATCTAAGAACCCCCCCCAATCTACCTTCACACTAAAAACAAGGTTTTTACTACAATTTCCCATTTCCTATAAATTTGTCATGAAGAACAAATTAGGAATAGCATAGTTTATCTATTAATATCTTTTGCTTTAAATTGTAGCACAAAAAGATGTTTTTCAAAACATAATTATTTAACAACAAAAAAACAGTTTTTTCCACAATTTTTTTTTTATTACCGGTAAACACTTAGTTAACATGGAATCGATTTGGGATAGCATATTATACTTTACTTAAATTACTGTGCATTTCCATAAGGCTTTGCCAGTGTACAATACCTATTGCTGACATTTTACAGTATCAATATGGAGAAAACCTGATAATTATATATCATATTACAGTACTTATACAATTTGCATGGAACTAAACACATTATATATCGGTACAATTGAACACGTGGATGGATAATATAAATGACTCTAAATGAAATAACTTGCTTTTTTTTAAGCAGTAAAAAAGCAGGATATATAGAAAATTGCATAGCACCTCTTACTTCAATTCCGAGTCTAGGGCAAAAGCCCACCAGACAAAAGCCCCAAACAAAAACCCCCTGGACTGTAAACAGCCCATTCATAATTGTAATATATATGTTAAAGAGTCCAGCTTTGTTATATCTCTTACCTCATATCTATTTTTAGAAGCAGCATAATGTAAAGAACATTGTCCTGTCTGATTGACAGCATTAACTTGTGCACCATTTCTTATCAACATTAATATAATCTGATATCTTCCTGCTGATGCTGCTATCATTAATGGTGTCCATCCAGTCTGCAATAAGATGACATGAATTTTTCCAAAGAATAACAAATTAGAAAAGACTTTTAAATGTTTTAACAGACATCTTTATATACACTTTATAAACTTTGCTTTCAACATTATCTATTGTATATTTTGTATCAAATGTCAATATGCCTTTTATATCAGTCAGTCAGGGGTTAAACTTATACAAATGTTCTTGGGGTAAAAATTGCAGTATTTCAGACTTTATCACTACTTTAGAGAGTACAAACATTTAGTGCATTGAGGTGAACATTCTTTTCATCCTTTGTATGTACATTTCAAGACATATATCAATCAAATATATACTGGGTACTCAAATATTCAAGTTATTAATTTTGTGTACTAGTATGTGTATAATGATACTTGTCAAGAAAATTGCATAATAAGTTGTGCATGAATCAATCAAGCTAAAAGTAACAATGATGTAAATGAGAAAAGGTATTATTAAAAATTGGAGTATGATGATCTTCTTTTGTCCATAACTAAAGTTAATCAACTACGGTACAGACTTCATACCTGCCTAATTTAGGGATTCAGGCCTGCACACCATGATTTAAATCCTTTGACCAGATTACATGATCGTGATCTTGAAAATAGCCAAAAAAAACGATTTTATGAAAATTTACATGAAAAAGTGTTGAATCCTAATATGGACAAGTACTCTCAGATCTGTACTCAGTGTCATTTTGTTGTGGGGATGTATAAGTACCCGCCCATGTCCACTCTGTGTTTTTGTTAGATGTATTTCTATTTGTATCCATCTGATGAGTTAAGCCTTTTTCAACTGATTTTCATAGTTTGTTCTTATGTTGTACTGTTACAAACTGTCCCAGGTTAGGGGGAGGGTTGGTGCCTTCAAACGAGTTTAACCCCACCACATTCTGTATGTGCAAGTCCCAAGTCAGGAGCCTGTAATTCAGTTGTTGTCGTCTGTTGCTGTGTAACATCGTTGTTTTTTGTTCATTATTTTGTACATAAATTAGGCTGTTAGTTTTCTCGTTTGAATTGTTTTACATTTGTCATTTCGGGGCCTTTTATAGCGAACTATTAGGTGTAGGCTTTGCTCATTGTTGAAGGCCGTACGGTGACCTGTAGTTGTTAATTTCTGTGTCATTTGGTCTCTTGTGGAGAGTTGTCTCATTTGCAATCATACCACATCTTCTTATTTTTATAATTCGAAAAAATTGCCTTTCAATGTTTAATACAATGCAAAGTTTAATGTGTAGTTCCCAAGATGCAATCTTTACCCTTCAGTCCTTATGAGAACTTTGAAATATTTACTGGTACAGGTAAATTATTTTGGAGGTAGAGTTATATCTCTTAGACATTCAGATATATTTTACTTATATAAGTAAAACAGAAATATTTTCTTCTTTTCTTGAATTTTTCTAGACTACATTGGTGTAATGGAGTGTTTAACCCTTTCATCCCCAATTATGTCTTGAGGTGTCACATGGAACTTGACTCGCCAAAACGATGCCTTAAGGTATCGCCTACTATAGGTCCTACAATGCCTCAAGGCATAATTTTTTTCTGTATTTTTTAAAGCAATTCAGCACATAATGACAGGGCATATAAACGAGGGTTGTTACTGACAGGAGACTTCGGTTATTCCCGTTTGATAAAACTGGAATATATAACCTCCGATCACTTGAGTCTCTAGAACCAAGAGTCTGTTTAGGGCATTTCAAGACCTTGATCCAAAAGGTAGTGGTTTAATTAGACCAGACAACATTCCATCAGCCTTGAGTACTTCATGTGAAATGTTATGCTACAGATTCAACAAAAACAGGTAATAGCATTACAGCCATTGCTACTCAACTAGATTTATGGATCATGTCAGCTATCATCTTCACTTGATATCCAAAATTGTTCTCTGTATGTTACTTTTACATACAAATCTACTCAGAGACTACTTTGCTATTTCCTGCCAATTTTCATCAAAGTTGGTAGTAATATTTCTATGATAATTTTATACAAATATATTTCCATATTGCATTAGCAATCTCGTCATAGATATCATTAAATTTTCCGCTGGACGTTCTTCAGCCATCCGTGACTCTCCTCCTCCTCATCAGCACTAGCATAATCAAATTGTAATACCTTGATATTGATATCATATGATAAAAAGCAAATAAACACAACAAAACCTTTCAAGATATTTCTTTAGAAAAATATTAAACATCCCCAGTTTTTTTTCTATTCCAAAAAAAACTTTTGACACTCATTAATTTTAACCACCCTCTTTCCCCTGCTTTATAACAAATTATGCTTACTGATTGCGTCATATGTGTGCATATGTATGAAAACAGTATCTTCCATAGATTTGATTTCCAATAGTTAAAACTATGAAATATAATATCTTTTTGGTGTAACCATGGCAACAATCTACCGGGTACATTTATTTGATACAAATATTGCGAAAAGGGGGTTGGAATTGTCACAAAAGTAGAATTTCAATCCATTTTAGTGATACCTTTTCTGAAACCATTGACATTTATCTATCAAGAAGTCAAATAAAAATCATATGCATTTAACCTTTCTTCCATAAAATTGAAACTGAAAAGTTCTAGCATAAAATATTTGTTGGAAAACACTACAATAGTTTCTGGATCTATGACCAGTATGAATGGGAAAATACGGACTGTCAAACAGAAAAAAGCCTATAAAACATGCAAAAAACATGATGTTCATATAAACCCATTTTGAAGGCTTTATTATTCTTCAGCTATCTAAAAATGAATTTTATTGCACAATAACTTTCATATTTGAAAAAATTCACCAGAGCCAAAATGCAAAACCAAACTCCAAACTGTGAATTGCTACCTAACCATTTCACATATTGGATTCTAAACTAGAAAACCCGGAAAATAAATTCTGAAAGACTAAACAACTAGCATTTTACTATACCAGATTTCTCATTGAAGTGATTACTTGTATTTATTAACATTTTCTTATTATTATGTTTGTGAAGAGGATTTCATCTCCAAACAAGCAGAGCAAGAGTTTACCCTTTCCTTGAACTACTGCAGTTGCACAGTAAACATGGTATAACACTTTCACCAGAAACCTTCAGTTTTCCTACAGCTGTCAAAACTATACTACCAAGGTTAGTAACATATACATGATTACTTCTAGCTAATAACCTGGACCTGGAATCAGAGCTATGCATTAGATATATTAAAAAAATGATTGAACAAATATTTAATTGTTTTTGTTTCTGTTGTTGTTTTTTTTTGTTGTTGGTTTGTTTTGAGTTGTTTTTTTTCTTTTTTTGGGGAGGGGGGGGGGGGGGCATGGCATGTTGCATGGTACTGAAAATAAGAAATGTGAAATATAACATCAATATTGATAGAACTTTTCTTTTTAAAAAAATCACCTATTTGTTAAACCTGAGGTCAAAGTTGACAGGGACATAGCGACAAATGAAAGCTTGTGTCAGTGAGCAATCAATATCAGCAAGAGGTATACAACCTATTGGCCAATTTTATTGCTAAGATGAATCAACAATACTTCCACATGTTTGCAAAGGACTTAAATTCAACAACATCTTGAAGGCATTAAAATTTCAGATTTACTGTCGGCAAAATCTGTTGTATTACAATCATTTATACACCGAGTATAGTGATATAATTTGTATATTAATACCTGATATATGGACCTTATCATAATAAACTATTGACACAGAGATATGAAAGACAATCTGATGGACAGCAACATTGCTAATTAATTCAAAGTCTCTGGACCAACTTGTGGATTGGGCCTAAAAATGGTTGACAAACTGAGATGAACAGACAGCAATGTAACTTTATAGAAAATATTGTCTATTGTAAGTAGTTCCTATCAAATTAACTTAATCAGAAAACTTAACATTGAAAATTGTTAATTGATTGAAAGTCACTGGACCATGACCTAGGGGGCAGGGCCTTGAAATAGTCGTCAAACTAATATGTACTGATCATAGTAATGCAACTTTATAGAAAATATCATTGATCTATCGCAAGTAGTTCATATCAAACTAACTTAAGCAGAAAACTTATCATTGAAAATTGCTAATTAATTGAAAGTCACTGAACCATGTCCTAAGAGGCAGGGCCTCAAAATAGTCGTCAAACTGATATGTACTGATAGTAATGCAACTTCATACAAAATATCATTGATCTATCACAAGTAGTTCCTATCAAACTAACTTAAGCAGAAAACTTAACATTGAAAATGGCTAATTAATTCAAAGTCACTGGACCATGGCCTAGGGGGCAGGGCCTCAAAATTGTCATCAAACTGATATGTACTGATAGTAATGCAACTTCATACAAAATATCATTGATCTATCACAAGCAGTTCCTATCAAACTAACTTCATCAGAAAACTTAACAATTGTTGACGCCGTCGCTGTCAAAGGAATCCCTATATCTCGCTTTCCACAACTTTCGTCGCAGGCGAGACAAAAACCAACATACCATGAAACTGAGTTCAATCTGTATTACCATCATTATGTCTTGCATTTTGCGTCATTCATCAGGCGAGATCAACATGACTAAATTAAACAACTAACTACAAATTTGTACATTTTTATTATTATTATGTTTTTTTCTGTATTAGTTTAAAAACTGTTAAACAGTATATATGACTTGATAGCCATTTATACTGTTTTCCACATACCGGTATACATGTAATTAAGCGACCTTCATGAACAACTTTCTTGTGCTCTCTAAGAGAGTTTGAAGAGTTATACTCACAACCACAGAGGTTACATAAGTTTTGTAGATCAGCTTTCAGTGAATTCATGTATGTAAATAGCATAGGCAACACTTTTCTGTTTTGATGCAATTCAACCAGTTGAAGCCATCACCACACATGCTACTTTTGTATTCAAAAATATATGTGTTTGTCCTTGATATGGATTGATAATCCAGCTCTTAATGTGAACATTTTGCCACAAACAGAACACTATTAGTTGTTGTATGTGTAACACTGTCCTGAGTTGGTTTTTGATGCACCCTTTCTTTTTTACAGCGTCTCAGATTGGCTTTCTTTTAGTGGCATACACACAAATAGTACATCTGTTATGCTGAACGACCTCATTTTTAGAGTCATCTGCCCCGACTGTTTCCTCCTCCACAAAATATATTCTGAAATTTTGAAAGTACATGTATTACATTCATCTCAAATAATGTAAATGACAAACTTTTTTTTTTAAATGATCTAATCCAATATATAACATGGGTTTTCATCCAATTATTTAAACTGATGGTCCTACATCCTGTTGATAATTGTATTATGGAAAGGTCATACATTTGATAGATTGCTATAGATGTGTTTACATTCAATCCTTTGCAGTTTAGTGACTGATAGTTTGTCTTGGAAAAATAGGGTTTATTCTTAATTGGAAATTTTACTTTGAACTAGCTTCCAGTATCTGCAATTACTGTTAGATCGGTACTTCATATCTTTTTGTTATTTGTTTTTAAGCTTTTTTAGAGCATCAAGCCAAGAGCCAGACCCATTACCCATTGGTTGTCTTTCATTGCTTCTGCCATTTTTTGATTATTTCCTTTCTTGTTTGTACGGTAGTTTAAATTAAGACCTCTTTTTGTTGATATTTTTTAATTAGCTCGCATTTTGTCATACAATGTCAAGAATTTAGCCCGATTTCATACATGTAGACATGCTAACTGACACTTATGTTTTATTATGTTTCTTATATAACAATGGTTTGACATTAAATAAACACGATCTATACATGCATGTATCTACTTCACCCAACAGGGTCAACATATATGATAAACGCATAGACGTTTTACAAGTATCACTCCAAACATAAGCTTGCAAGGGGGCCCCCTTTTTCAAATGCTTGGATTGAACCTGAAACTAGCAGTTAGTAATGAGTAATATATGGAAGCAAAATATCATAAGAATAATTATCTGACTTACCTTAAAAATGTAATGTTTTTTCGGTCTGAAATCAATGTTACACTGTGTGTTTGATTCGAACGCATCAACATCCTGATTCATGTGTATCATGGTTATACGAGGCTGTGTTATTCTGCTAAGCATACCTCCACTGGAATATATTAAAGCACCAGAAAAACGGTAGTAGATGGCTGACAGATCTGAAAAGGGCTCAGACATTTCAACTCATCAATGCCAAACTACTGGCAAAAGAAGAAGTCACCCTGTTCAGTACTACCAGAGAATCCTGTGAGGAAAATTTTTTCATTCAACCTATTGAAAAATTAAAAGTATTGGCAAACAGGAAGTAGGAGTCTGACTGTTCCAAAAAATACTCACATGTTACAACACATCACAGTTAAGCTGCTGACCAAATACGAAGTAATTCTGTTAACTTGTACCTGTGAAATGTTTGACTGAATTGTTTTATTTGACAAACAGAAGGACCTATAAACAAGTTCAATGCAATATACATTATTTCTTTACTCCCATGACTCCTAGCATGCCTAGATTGGGGTATTATATGCCATAACTGCATGAATTGTAATTAGAATATTGTACTATACATTTCTTGATTTGAACAACATTAAATTTGTTACTTCAATTAGCATACCATGTTAAAATAGTTTAAATTTACTTATTCATTAAAATAATTTTCTTCCAATAACTTCTCTTACTTCGTCCCTGGCATCTACTGGCACACCTTGTTTGATAAGAAATTCTACAATCTCTGTATGACCACCTGAAACTGCCCAGTGAAGAGGCATTCTGTTTGTCTGAAAAGAAAATGCAATTATAGTGCATATTATCTATTATGTACATAGGATTCAGTATCATACATTTAAATATTGTTCTAAGAGGGGCGTAAAGGGGGGTATCTGCACAGAAGAACGCGAAATAATATTGCCATTTCACGATGAACGAACAATTAAAAATTTCTTGCACATTGATCTTTTTACCGATTTCACGAAACACGGTGAATAACGAACCCTTTTCACGGCTGCACGTGAAATAAAAATGGCAAAACAGGTTGCAGGAAAATAACCCTTTACCACCCTCTTCTAAGTGTTCCAAAATTCTTAGTCATATTATAAATTTCTTAAAATAAATTCTTTTTATAAGATGAATTCATTTTACAGTTAAGGAAATTATTCATCTGCATATATCATAAGAGATTTATCAAATTTTAATCATACAAACAAAATGACAGATTTTTTGGCAGCATGAACCCAGGCAATTAAAAATACTGCTTTGACATCTTTCAGAAATTTTACTGATAAATGACAAAGTTCCCAAGACATACAAGTCTATGTTGTCTAAAATCCCATTAAACAAGTGAATCTGTGAGCTACTGCTCACTAATGATACCCCCGCCCGCTAAAAGTATATGGTAAACAGGAAGTTGTTGAGTGATGAATCTGAAAACGCATCACACGGTATAGCTGACTAATATAAACCCTGAAACCAAATTTCAGAAATCCTTGAAATGTAGTTCCTGAGAAAGATGCAACGAAAAATATTCATGGGACGGACGGACAAACGGACTGACCGACTGACAGACTGACGGATGGACAGACAGAGGTAAAACAGTATACCCCCACTTTTTTAAAGCGGGGGTATAAAAATTACCTTGATGTGAAGAATGAAATAAACTATTGTTGACAATTTTTATTTTTTGATGAGTCTATGAAACCAAAAAAAGAAAATATTGTTCGCTTTATAATTGAAAAATTCTGAAAATTGAAAAGAGAATTTGAATTCAAATGTCGTTTTTTGTTTTTGTTTTATGATATCAAAAACAAAAACACTTTGGTTTTAAGATATCAAAAAGAAAACACTTTTGTTTTTATTCTTTTTTCATGTTTGATATCTAAAAACAAAAAACAAAAGGACATCAATATACACGGGTTGTTCTGGCCCCAAACCAATCCGGCCGAGTTTGTTTTAGGCCTAGTTATTCAGCAGTGGGTAAAATTAGTAGCATGTGAACCTGGCTCACTGACAAGAAATAGAGGTTGGGCCAGAATACCAAGGTAGTATAATTACAAGTTTGTAAAGGTACAAATAAGAATTGTGAAAATAAGGTAGGTATTTGTAAAGGTACCAGCTTGTGAAAATAAGATACTGTATCAGGTCTTTCCAGCCCCAAGTCTAAAGACAATCCAGCCAAAGTTTTTCTTGCCTCATAACCATGATAACAAATTAATGAATAAAATAATAACTTCATGTATATTAAAAAGATAATAAAAGTCGGAGAGTTTTGTTAAGTATTTGATTCAGGGTAAGTGGAAATTTCCACATGACAGAGTTGATGATTGGAGGAATATTTTAAGTAAACAGTATTCATGATGAATCAAACAACATTTCTCAATTTGAGTAGTTTTTATAACTTTTTCTAAAAAGAAAATATGTGTGCATCAGCTTGGGGATCACCTTAATTGTGTGTATATATGACAGCAATTTTTTAAAATGACTGAATTTTCAGGCAATCTATAAAATACCTAACTTTGATAGCATTATATAAAATGACTAAAAATACCTACCGGTAGTCAGTTTGTAAAATGATTGAAATTTTGAAACAAAATTGCCTGTTCAGTTTCAGATAATTTGTAAATTAACAGAAAATTAGCATTGAGATGCATTTTGACCAAATTCCTGCTGTTGTCTGTTCTGTGGTCGGGTTGTTGTCTCTTTGACACATCCCCCATTTCCATTCTCAATTTTACAATATTAAAGAAAATAACAAATGGTTCGGTAAAATTAAGTTTATTCTTAAAACAAGAGTGCACACGCTGAAATGTCTCGCCTGCTTTACTGATCATTGATTTTATGTTGATAGTCCTAAATATAAAGCTTTACTACAAGTATCACATAAACTTAACATGATCCAAGAAAATGAGGTCAAGGTCAGATTAACCAAAACGGAAATACCTATTGCTTATAGTTTCTAAGAAACAAACTTAACCAGGAAAACTTAACATTGACCACTGAACCATGAAAATGAGGTCAAGGTCAGATGAAACATGCCAGACAGATATGTACACCTTACAATAAATCTATGCATTAAATATAGTTGACCTATTGCTTATAGTATCTAAGAAACAAACTTAAATATGAAAATTTAACATTGACCAATGAACTATGAAAATGAGGTCAAGGTCAGATGATACCTGACAGACAGACATATACACCTTACAATCATTCCATACACCAAATATTGCTTATAGTTTAAGAAAAACAGACCAAAACACAAAAACTTAACACTGAGCAATGAACCGTCAAAATAAGGTCATAGTTAAATAAAACCTGCCAGACTGTACATATTTCCATACATCAAATATAGTTGACCTATTGCATATTGCATATAGTATAAGAAAAAAAGACCAAAACACAATAAAATGCTCCACTGGGCGCAACTTGATACGACCGCAGAGGTTGAACCCTAAACAGTTGGGGCAAGTATGGACACAACATTCAAGCTTGATACAGCACTGAATTTGGATTGTGATTAAATATTTGACACAGCATAGGTTTCTCACACAGAATGAATGTGGTCTAAGAACTTAAAATTTTTTAATTTACCTATTTAAACCATATCATTATTATTTGCTTTTATATATAAATCAGAAATAACCAATTTAAAATGGAAAATTTTAAAGCAAAAAAAGGGGGAAAAAAATCCCCCCCCAAATTTTTTGAACCCCCTTAAGATTCATCACCCCCAAACTCAATCCCAGCCTTCCCTTTGTGGTATGGTACCTTGCAGTACAATTTCAGAGAGATCCATACACTTGAACACAAGTTATTGTCTGGAAACTAGAAAAATGCTTGTTTTTTGGCCCCTTTTTGGCCTCAAATTCCTAAACGTTTAGGGCAATTACCCCCAAACTCAAACCCAGCTTTCCCTTTGTGATATGGAACCTTGTAGTACAATTTCATAAAGATCCATACACTTACACACAAGTTATTGTCATGAAACTAGAAAAATGCTTGTTTTTTGCCCCTTTTTGGCCCCCAATTCCTAAAATTTTGAGATAATTACCCCCAAAATCAATCCCAGCCTTCCCTTTGTGGTATGGTACCTTGCAGTACCATTTCAGAGAGATCCATACACTTGAACACAAGTTATTCTCTGGAAACTAGAAAAATGCTTATTTTTGGCCCTTTTATGGCCCCTTATTCCTAAACATTTTGGGCAATTACCCCCCAAACTCAATTCCAGCTTTCCCTCTGTGATATGGAACCTTGTAGTACAATTTCATAAATCCATACACTTACACACAAGTAATTGTCCGGAAACTAGAAAAATGCTTGTTTTTTGCCCCTTTTTTGCCCCTAATTCCTAAAATTTTGAGGCAATTACCCCCAAAATCAATCCCAGCCTTCCACTTGTGGTATGGTACCTTGCAGTACAATTTCAGAGAGATCCATACACTAACACACAAGTTATTGTCATGAAACTAGAAAAATGCTTGTTTTTTGCCCCTTTTTTTGCCCCTAATTCCTAAAATGTTGAGGCAATTACCCCTAAAATCAATCCCAGCATTCCCTTTCTAATATGGAACCTTCTGGTACAATGTCAGAGAGATCCATACACTAACACACAAGTTATGTCTGGAAGTTACAAAAATGCTTATTTTTGGACCCTTTTTGGCCCCTAATTCCTTAACTGTTGGTACCATAACCCCCAAAATCAATCCCAACCTTTCTTTTGTGGTATTGAACCTTTTGGTAAAATTTCATAGAGATCCATTCACTTTATCTAAAGTTAGAGTGCGAAAACCAATGTGTCTTCGGACGACGACGATGACGACGACGCCATCGTCATACCAATATACGACCGCAAAAAAGCGGTCGTATAAAAACTTAACTTTAACCACTGAACCATGAAAATGAGGTCAAGGTCAGATGACACCTGTCAATTGGACATGTACACCTTACAATCATTCCATACACCAAATATAGTTGACCTATTGCTTATAGTTTAAGAAAAATAGACCAAAACACAAAAACTTAACACTGAGCAATGAACTGTGAAAATTAGGTCAAGGTCAAATAAAATCTGCCAGACTGACATGTTCATCGTAAAATATTTCCACACACCAAATATAGTTGACCTATTGCATATAGTATTAGAAAAAAAGACCAAAACACAAAAACTTAACATTAACCACTGAACCATGAAAATGAGGTCAAGGTCAGATGACACCTGCCAGTTGGACATGTACACCTTACAATCATTCCATACACCAAATATAGACCTATTGTTTATAGTATCTGATATATGGACTTGACCACGAAAACTTAACCTTGTTCACTGATCCATGAATTGAGGTCAAGGTCAGATGAAAACTGTCTGACAGGCATGAGGACCTTGCAAAGTACGCACATACTAAATATAGTTATCCTATTACTCATAATAAGAGAGAAATTAACATAACAAAAAATCTTTACTTTTTTTTTCAAGTAGTCACTGAACCATGAAAATGAGGTCAAGGACAATGAACATATATATGACAGACGGAAACTTCATAACATAAGGCATCTATATACAAAGTTTGAAGCATCCAGGTCTTCCACCTTCTAAAATATAAAGCTTTTAAGTAGTAAGTTAACGCCGCCTCAGCCGGAACACTATCCCTATGTCGAGCTTTCTGCGACAGAAGTCG